TTTTATTTTTTTAATAATTTTTTTTTTTTTTTTTTTTTTTTTTTTTGTAATATTTTAAATTGCTAGAAGCAGCAGTATTATAATAAATATTTTTGTTACTTTTTATTTTTTTGATTTTAATTTATATGCATTTGTTTTGTTTTTAAATTTTAATAAATTACAAAATCATTAAGCATAAATATATAATTAATTCTTTATTATATATTTTTTAAAATTGAAAAATAGGGGATTGCTATTTTAACATGTAGAACAAAAATAATTATCATCAGAGCAAGAAAATATTATTGCTTAATTTTTTTTAAAAATTTTTTAAAATTTTTCTAAAAATATTTTTATAAAGAGAAAATGCAAAAGAGAATATTTAGAAGTTATATTAAAAGAATATTCAAGAAAATATCAAAGTACATTAAAAATTATGTAAAAGATATAATTGAAGAAATAAATGTAAAATCATTTAAAAAATATAAGTATAATTTTTTTTTTGAATTTATTGGTTCTTTTATTTTTGTATTTTTCATTTCTATTTATATGCTAAATTCTAATCATAATGAAGAATATGTAATTAAGAATACGAAGCAAATAAATCCATACAAAACTAACGATATTTTTATACCGGGTGATAATATTTTTGATAATGAAATTAATAATGTGAGATATATAAAAGATCTAAATAAAAAGATAAATGTGGAAAATATATTACTAGAAAAAAAGATACAAAATAGTGTTGATACAAACAATGAAAGGAAATTAAATAATCAAAAAGAAAAATTAGAAAATATTGATAAAACGTTGGAAAATGAAAAAAAAGAAATAAAAGAAAAAATTGTGAAAGAAGATAAAACAAATGAACCATATTTAAGTGAAGAAAGAAATAATGATACAAAAGAAAATATAAAAAATAAAGATGTAGAATCTATAAATGAAGATTATAACAACTCTGAAGAATTAAAAGAGAAAATGAAAAAAAATATATTGGAAAATGAGATAACTAATAATACAAATATAAAAATACCAGTCTTACAAGAAAATAAATTCATTAATAAAAAAATAAATATAGAAAATCCAACAAATAATTTAAAAGAAAAAGTAAGTAATAAAGAACCAGTTATAAAAAATGTTGAAAACGTGGTATTTAAAAATGATATAAATGAATTTAGCAAAATAAAAATAGCTGATATTAATAATATAAATATAGGAGATATTGACAAATATGAAGTATTAAAAAATTCAAAAAGTAAAAATAATAATAATCATGCAATATATTCTTTCTTTGGTTGTTTAATATATGTTTTATTTGTAATATCAGGAGCTCATATAAATCCTGCATATACATATGCTTTATGGTTAGTTGAACCAAAAAAATATGGATTTGCATTGTCAACTCTTTATGTTACTTTTCAATATATAGGGGGAATAGTAGCAAGTATTTTATGTGCACATATATATGGAAGTATATTTATTTATTCTTTATTACCAAAAAAAAAAATTATGAAAACATTTTTATGTGAATTTCTTTCTACCTTTTTATTAACATTACTATTAATAAGCTTATATAAATATAAAAAAAAGTTTATAGAAGATAATAATAATAATAATAATAATCAATCTACACATTTTATTAATAAGAAAATAAAAAAAATGGCATCATCGTATTCTTTTAATACCTATGAAGATATATATGGTTATGATATGTTTAATACAAATGGAGGAAAAAATAAGTTATTTATTCACATTAATAATAAATATATCAAATACATTATGAATCATATTTTTTATTTATTATTTATTTTTTTTTCTTTATTATTTTTTGTTTTTGTAACAAATACTACATTAAATCCATTGTTTTCCACATCCACATTATACACATATATATATTTTAAAATTTTTAAATCAACTAGCCATTTTAATTTATATTCTATATTTGCATCATTTTTAAGTATAACCAAAATATTACACATGATTAAATTCTATATCCAATCATTACCACTATGGATAGGCCCATATGTTGGATCTACATTTGCAACTTGTTTTATTGGCTTGTTTAAAAATGACGATGAAGAAATTATTAATGTAATTGATACAAATATATATAAGTATAATAAAAAGAAAGAAAAAATACCATTAATAAATAAATATAATTTTAAGCAAAATGCATATCTTATAGAATATAACGATAATATTGATTATAATTCACATAATTATTTAACTCCTAATGTTTTTTGATTTTTAATACCAATTGTTTATATTTTGTAATTTAAATAAAGAAAAAATTACTTTTAATTATTTTATTTTAATTCATTTTTTTTTCTTTTTCTTTTTCTTTTTCTTTTCTTTTTTTTTTCTTTTTTTTTTTTTTTTTTTTTTTTTTTTTTGTCCTTTTTATTGTTGTTACAATAATTAAAAATTGTTGAATATTTAAATTTGATTTTTTAATATTATTATTGGTACCAATAATTTTCTTTATAAATTAAAATTTTTTTTATTTGTGAAAAAATTTTATTAAAATAACAGTTACATTATCCTAAAAATTAAATTTAGAAAA